AAAAAATTGTGACTATGGATTTTTAATTTTTTTTTTTTTTCATCTTCCTTTGAAACAATATACTAGGAGCCTTCTATTAAATTTTTAAGCTTTCTTAACCAACAAATAAAATTGTATTGATATTTATAAACAAAAAAACTAAAATAATTAGAAACTTAAAATGTCCGTAAAAAGCTCAAAATAAGTCAAAATATTTGGAAAATTGGATCAAGATGGTACTTTAGAGAGGTCATTTTTCGATTTTATCAATAGTTATTTAATGCCACGGTAAAAACCACCGAAAAATTACGAAAAACCACTAAAATTTGGATTTTAATTTCCAACGCTTTGTTTATTACCATAGAAACGAATTTTATAATAATATTATAAATTATAATACAGCAGCTAATGGCCATAGTTGCCGGGCTTAATGATCAATGAAAAAAAAAAAAAAAAAAAAAATTATAATATTAATTCAACTTACATGATATAATAATTAGGTAATAACAATATTAAATATCTAGACCGACAAACCATCTCCGCTTAGAATCGTTTTTCTTATACATCGATAGAATATCATTGAATTCAAGTTTAATAAAATCCTTTATACAATGACTCACTTGTAACTATAACTATAACTATAACTATAACCCTACTGTACAGAAGAGCGACATCCACTTAAACGCTTTTTAGATTTTATGGTTACATTAAAAAATACTTATGAGTAAACTTGTTTTAAATGTTCAATCTTAAGCAATAAAAATTGAAAATATTTGAGATTCTGATGAATTTTTCAAAATATGAACTTAAAATGCTTACAAAAAAAATTGTGCTAATGTATCTTTAATGTTATTGAATTGCTTTTATAAAAACTTAGAAACCTTGTATACAATTTTCAAACTTATTGACCTTCCAAAAATGTTTTTAATATTAATATTTATATAGAAAACAAAACAAAACTAAAAATATTTAAAAATTGAAAATGTTTATAAAGTATAAATAGGTAATTTAAGACAAAGTCGAAATATTTTTATTGTTTAAATAAATTATACCCAAATTGCGCCTATGGAAACCTCCCTAACAGACACATTTAAATAGTGGACTTTTTTTGTGAACAAACTATAAAATGTCTACAAACTGAACCCTCTATTCAAAGGTCTATTCAACAGGCATAATTTCCAATCTTGTAATAGATTTAGGTACTTTTAAAAAACATTCAAGTACTAAAATACAAATACAATTACTTCTTTTCAAAAGTATTTAAAATACGTATCTGAATACTTGGATAAAAAGTATTTACAGACACTTTCAAATACTTTTTTATTTTTAATGTGTTTCACCTTTTTACCTTGGCCTAATGACCTTGTACATAGATAAATTGAATCATCATAGTAAACTGAACTAATTTTTATCTAGTTTTAAATATTAAAAAAAATAATAAAACCAGCATGATACAAATGACATATTGATACTTATTACTTTATAATGCTTTTAAGTTTTAACTAGTACACACTCCATAGTGTAGTCTAAATCATACACTAACTCAGTAACACGGTTACAAATGTACATTGTTATTCAACCATATTCTGCGATAATTCAAGGATGGACTACCACTATTTACCAGGAAAAACCGAATGCGGGTTACGTGTATAATCATGGCGTAGTTTGGTATAATTATCTGTGGGGGCTATATATTATATACTAAATAGCACCAGAAAATTATAAAAACATTTAAAACAATAATTTCCGATAAAATGTAAAAAATGAAATTAAACACCATAGGGGGGCTACAAAAGTTTCTGTGGGGGCTGTAGCCCCATGCATACCACGCCCATGTGTATAATGTATACCTACATAAAACATAATATAATACTACCACTAGTTATAATATATTATAACTATCGACTATCGTTATATTTTATATAATATACATAATTCGAGTAAAGGTATTTCCATTTTTATTAGGAAATCAACGGACTGATGACATTCAATTAAATGGATACCTAGTATGCCTATACAAAATATTACAATATACCAAAATACAACGATGAACGATCTATAAATAAAAATCTTGTACAATTTCAAATTTGTTTTATTTTATTTCAATTCGGCCCCCTGTACATAAAGTAAGATGAAAAAAGTATTTAAAAATAGTATTTGATTTTAAATACAGATACTTTCAAAAAAGTATTGAAATACTGCGGCCAAGTACCTACTTTTATCAAATGTATTTAGAATACGTATTTGAGTGATTTTACTTAAATACTTTATAAGACTGTCGGTAACCGAGTATCCGGTATTTTGTTTTCGCTGTATAAAAAAAGCTAATATGTATAAAATATTTGGTGAAAATTTGTTCGTTTTTGAACTACAGGGAAATAAGATAATCGTTCTATGAGAAATCGTCGGAATAATTTGAACTTCATTCATTATGAGAGGAATCTTGTATAAAATTTTCAAATTTTAGATTTAAAAAGAAATAAATTGCAAATGTTTGACTGTTTTTTAAAAACTTACTATTATTTTACCATCGTTTGTAGGAGTTAACACTATGCCTATGGCCTATGCAGGAGATTACCTACATTTGTAGGAGTTTACCATTCCCCGAAAATTGTATCGTGTATAGAAAACACTAATATAAACATTCTGTGAAAAAAATCATGCATCCAAAGTTATTTTTTTTTAGTTACACCTAACAAATAAAATCAATTTTGTCAAAAACTGGTTTTGCTTTAAAATTTCACTTTTCCTAAATTTTTTTCTTTATTTATACCGACGCTTTTGAAAACTATTCGAAATGTTCAGTTTTTACCCCTTGAGTGTACCAACTGACCAACTAGATTCATTTTTGCACCAGAGAAGAAGCCAAATTTAAAAATTGAAGAATTATTTTGGCTACTTATTGTGTTCACAGAAAAAAAATACATCATTGTAAAATCAATACATTCAACAAACAAAATATATTGAACATTGTGTTATAAGCTTATCCTGTTTTTAAACTATTAAGGCATTACCTAAGGCTTAAATAGTTATTATTATTTTTATTATGTCATAACTACATTTTTAGAAAAATATTTAAGATATAGTTCATAATATTAACTAGTTAATATTTTTATTTTTTTTTTTTAATTATTCAATTTGATTATTTATAAGCGTATGTTATTAAAACACAATGTTTCTGCTCAGAATCATTTTTCATATATATATAACAAATCCATTATCATGATATTCTCGACAACTGAAACTATACAGCAGAGCAGTACTGACTTGTCCACCTTTTATTATATATTTAAAATAGTTATAATACCTATTAATTATTATAATCAATATTATAAAGATTTTAGGCCACTAATGTAACTTCTACTAATATAATAAATTAATAAATTATTTATGGAAGCTATAAGCATAATTATTCTACTAAGAGAATGTTGGTGGGGGAGGGGGGGGGAAGAATGCAATTTACAGTTAAGAAGATTATAAATGTATAAAATATGTCCTGTTGCCCATAAGAAAAGTTATTCCTAGAACAACGCCTAGTTAATATTATAAAACAGTGCGTGTTACCTATATCCTATATGGCTATATCGAAGTAAAAACAATTTAAACAAAATGTATTTAAGTATAGACATTTGTTTTCATCACTTATGAGTTATGGCCACTATATATGACCTTATTGCTAAAAAATAAATAAGAATAGAATTTAATAGTTTAGTGCAAAGGTATTCAAACTGTGCGTCGCAGATCATAGGGACATCACAAGAGTTGTCGAAGGGAGCCACTTCAGAGCACTGGAAACCAAAATTAATGTAAGTCAAGTGTAAATAGTGTAATTAATATAAATATTATTTATAATCATTAAAGCGATTAATAAATCACATTACATATAATATATTTGAAATTTTATTTCTAGTACTTAGTCACTGTTATTATCACCAATATTAGCTATAATATGATATCCGTATTGTTTCAATTTTTGATAATAATTTGGGAACCGTAAAAAAACACACAAAGGCGCTGCAGGATGAACAAGTTTGAATACCTCTGGTTTAGTAAATACCAACTTCCAATGTATGTGAAACAGTTAACAAGTAAATCATGACTATGTGAGTGACCTAGGTCTGTTTTAAATTTTGTGTCTTTGACTATTGTTATACAATATGCATATTTATTGTTTTTATTTTTATTTATAATAATCTATGAAAAGTAAATTAAATTAAAACATAATTACTAGATAATTTTATAATCAGTTAAAAAATTAATGTGGGCATTAATTAATGACAATATCATTGACTACCTAGTTATAGTACATCAACCACAACTAAAAATATTAAAACTCAATTCTTTAGTTCTTATCTAATAAATAAATGTTGAGAATTAAATTTCTAAAGTTTCTTCTACTTCTTTTTCTGATACATAAGTTCTTAATATTAGTTTAAATGGTAATGTAAAAAAGTTCAAAGTCCACAATATAAAATATTATATTATATCCACTATCCATGGATTGAATATTTATATAATATTACTAGTTGTAAAAAAGTGTCCTATATTATTTAGTATTATTATAACTAGTATGTACCTGTGACCTATGAAATAAATATAGAAAAAATTGAATTTGTTTTCAAGTCTCACATACGACCGGGCACACCTTAAATTTTAATCCTGGGTTTGCCTATGGTTATAAGCTACTTGTTAAAAAAAAATGCATTTATTATTCTGCAGGTTGAGCTTTAAGATGTATAATATTATTATATATACCTACATAAAATATATTATACATTTTATTTAATTCAAATCATATATTTAGAACTTAGAATAATATTTCAAATGTGCACGGAATATACACTGACACAAATAGTAAGATTAAACAAATTTTATATCAAATGATAAAATATTATATATACATTTTGTATATATATTTCTTACTTTAATACTACAAAAAATAAGAGACATGTTAAATAGATGAATTAATTAATATATTCAAAATTCTAATAATTATTAACAAAATCAATAAAAAATACTAACTACTGTGAACTACTTTCTTTTGTATGAACATTGGTTTCATAGACATCAGATTTATTTGTACTATCATTTATAGCTGTGGGGTCGACTCTTTTGGATGAAGTTTTGTAAACTTGCAGAATATTATTTTTTTTCAGTGAATCAATTACTTGATTTACAGAAAGCGATGGATCAGCTACTACCATGTTTACAGCTAGGTTTGTGGCATTTTGATTTTGTTGGGTCTCTCGCAAATTGATTGGTGGCAATTGGCCACGAGTCTCTTTGTGAAACATACTATAACACAAACATTTCCTAATTAGTCAACTTAGTTGTTATATTTAATAACAAAAAATTATAACACTAACGCTCTGAATGTATCCTCTGGGTAATATATGTCTGGTATTTTGATCGGTTGAGACGGCTTTGCATAATGTGGCTCCGATTCAGGTGGAAACGCCCGGTACACATCGTACCAAATGGGTCGATCATCAATTTTCATTGCACCGGACTTTATCAGACCGTTAACCCTAAATATATTTCGATAGTAATGTAATTTAAATTTTGCATACGACATAACTATGTGTCTTTTTTACTATCAATACAAAATTATACTGTACCTCGTAAATATGGTTCCTAGTTTTTCCAAACGACTTCCAGCCATAATTGTATGTTTTAATTATAACAATATTGTAATATCTACACGAACTTTTACAATAAGTAATAACCAGTTAACGAAGTAAAAGAAAAACTTTGGATGTTCGGCGATTACAATATTATCATTTACGATAACAAGATAAAATAATGCCGGAGCCGTATCAGTCGTAAAAACAAGATAATAAAAATACATATATTTTAATATTGAATATATGGCGAAACTGTATTCGTGATAACGACAAACGAAGTGATGATAAAATTTAAATTAATAATTTATTGACAATGTTTATAGGTAGACGGTACTTAATAGTAGTTAATAGTTTATAATAATTAATCATAATATTATAAACATAGGTGCAATTTGTGGGGTCCTTGGGGGACTTAGCCCCCTAGTTTAATTTAAGCCACTTAATTTTTTTGATATTCTCATTCATAAATCCATGATCAGCATGACAGTACCTAACAAAAAAATATTTAATTATGGATTCTAGCCAACTCGATAGTCGGTATACAAGCATCTTATCTAATAAGTAATAAGTAATAATTAATATCGATTTACAGAATATATAATCAATTGACAATTTTTAGCAACTATTAGCGTTTAAAATCAATGATATTATTAATCGTTGTACCTATAACAGTTCAAGTAGGTACCTATAGCAGTATAGCTAATCTATTCATAGTAGTAACACTGCCGCACGGGTATAAATATTATTATTACATATTAGCTACTAGCTAGGTATTTTTTGATTATGGAATTTACGGACATTTCACTATGTAATTACTTATTAATTTATTATGACTTCTTAACGCAATTCTGATGAAACGCTGTACGCGAAGTTTCTGTCTTACTTACTCACTTCTCTAGCCTCTTGTACTCTATATTCTATAATACTATTATAAAAAGTTATATTATATGAAGTAAGATCATAAGATATGAAGTTATATCAGTTAAGTTAGAAACTGTGTAGGTAATATTCTGTAAGTCCGAATTCGTTTTAGTTACACTTACCAGACTATAATTTACTCTAATGTTTTATTTTAGATTCTGAGTGGAACGATGGGGAGCGCCGAGCGCGTTAAAATAATAAAATCGGGAAAAAAAATTATCAGGACAAAAATTGATTAGGATTGTTTAACAACATGAACTATATATTATTATTATAGGAACCAAAAAAACACAAAACAGTATTTCATAGGAAAATTCTTATGCAGGAAATTCAATTTTGGGATAAAGATTTTTCAGGAACCGTCAAAATCGGGATTTCATTTTTAGAAAAAATAGTGCCATGAACAATCAAATTCAGGAATACATAAAAATCAAAAGAAAAAAATGATTTGGATTGTTTAATTAAGTAGATACCTGCAACTTGCAAGGTTCACCGAATGTTAAGATTATTATTTTATACACAATTAAATTAAAAAAATATTTTAACCCTTTTTGAGATAATTGTAGGCATAAGAATTTTTCGACTTTTTTCTATAAATACGATGAAAATATTTTATTTGGATAAAAAAAATGAAAAATTTGATACAAGGCTCTTCATAATATATTCTATTTATAATTTAAAAATTTAAGAAATGCATATTAGCCACGAATTTTTTTTATAAGCATTTAACGTTCAATTTTTGACAAAATAAATTATCCCGAAAATGTGCAAATTGTGTTGTACTTAAGAATTCAAAAAAATTTATAGGTAAGGAATGGAAATTTAAAACAAGATTATTTTCGAAAATCGTTGGTATTTTGTCCAAAATATCTAAAAATTACACAGTTTTTAGATTATGAACGGAGCGATGAATGTAGGTATTGGTTTTATATTGTGTTTTGTTTTTTTTTTCTGTCTTCACCTTCATAGTAGAACTGCTTCGATTTTCTCCAACAGTGTATTTTTCGATAGGAGAGTGAATCTAGTTGGTGCATTGTGCAGGTCAAAATTTAGAGCAGGGAAAAGCAAAATACAAATTAAGGAAAAACGGAAAAATCCGTTTTCGGTTTCGACAAAATCGATTTTGGTGTTTGGTGAACTCTAAAACAAATAACCGTAGACACATAAAATGTTTACTGAATGTTTATATTAGCTTTTTCTATACACGATAAAATGTTTAAAACATTTTGACTTATTTTGATCTGTTAACAACAATTTCAGTTTTCAATTTTTTTAGTTTTTTTTTCTTTGAATGTCAATAAAATGTTATTTGTTGGCTAAAAAAGTTTGAAAATTTAATAAAGGGCTCCTGATGTATTGTTACACTAGCAGTTGAACAATATTAAAAATACATAAGCACAATTTTTTTTTATAAGCATTTAAAGTTCAAATTTTGACAAAATTTATAAAAAATCTCGAAAATTATCAATCATTGTAATTAAAAAATTATAAAATGTTCAGTTTTTATAACTGAGGATTGCCAATTTAAAACAAAGATTCTCATAAATAGTTCATACTGTAACCAAAAAACCCATAAAATATATAAACACAGTTATTCATTACAGGCATTTTAAATTTAAATTTGGACGAAGTTAGTAATTACATAATATTAAAACCAATAGTAACGATTTTAGTTATATTTTGTTGTCATTTAAAAATACTATTCGTGGATATATAAAACTTTTAGAGTATATTGTTATATTTTATACCTACACACGTCACACAGTGACATTTTCAAATGCAGTTTTTTTTGCAAAAATGTCTAATACTAAAATTAATTAGGTACTTTAATAATAATACCTAATATCATAAAATATGCCCACCTATAGTGATATTGTAGACCATGGATGGCCAATCTGCAGCCTGCCTTGGAAAGTTTTGAGGCCCGCGACATTTATCAAAATTTACAAAAAACAAAATTATTTTTGTTTTTTAATTATTTTTATAATGTTTACTCAATTTTGTTTGTATTGGGGCAAAATATATTTTGTGAATTGTAAAAAAAGAATAAATATTTTATTAATTTATAGTACCATTTACTCAGTACTAAATATTTCTTAATTAGTTATCACATTCTAGATGTACCTACTATATTGTAAATGTAAATATAAAATTTCTATAATAACATGTTTAAGAGTTTATGGAAGTTAGTTAGGATAGGTTCATAGACACACCATGAGTGCATGAGTGTATTATATTAGTTTAAAAATATATAATTAACACAGACAAAAGACAAAATGATTGACTTCCATGTAAATCACAAAAAATATATAAAATAAATTGTATACTTTTTGAACAAGACAAGAGACTTCTAATTTTTATTTATTTCAATAGATTATGTTTAAGCTGTGTTTGCACCTAAAATATAGCAATAATATACAGTATGTATAATATATCTTAAATAGAGATTTTGAGTAAATAGCAAATACCTATAGAATCTAAGTGGCTAGGGGCCAGTTGGTACTAAATAGGTAAAATGTAAATAAATAATAATAAAATATTTATATAATATTAAGTATTATACTACCTATATAATTAATTATATTTACTATATATTTTATAGTATAGGTAACACATTTATTATACGAGGTACCTATATGAATATATGATTAACTGAGCTATTATTTACTAAGTGTTATATTATGTCCATGAGAGTGCGAGTTGTGCAGTGTGCACTGAGATTCACTGAATGCAGTAAAACTTTGTTTTGTTATCGATAATACACACAATTTTGTCTAAGGTTTTATAATTATGTATTAATAATTTCTATGTACCTAACTATTGGTTTTTTATATTTTTAACAAAGAACAAAACAATAGTATAAACTTAGTATAGTACAATAATATATTAAATAACAACAATTAATTTTTTACAGTAATAATAATTAATACTGTGGAATTTATTAAAATTTAAAATATACACATACAAAAATTCTATCTGGTAATAACTAATAAGCGTTAACAATATCAACTAAATGTCCAGTGGTTTTAATTATATTGAAAGCATTATGATCTCATGTTTGTACATTATTATGTATATTATAATACATTATTATTTCTATAAAGCAGTAAAATGTTAATTTGAGCATCTGACCAGGTTGGCTGAATAATATATAGATACCATCAAATACTTTACTATTTATGTGTTTATACTTAATAATATGTTTATAACATATTTATATGTTTTTTTTAATAGCACCCGTGAACTCAATTAATTAAAACAGTGACAAAATATTACTACATACCTACAGAAAGAGTTCATAATATTAATTTCTATGATACATTGTTAGAAGCAAAAATTAAAAAAGATGGATTTTTATTATAATATTATACTGTTTGATAATATAATGCATGTTAAATTCTATTAATCAAACACACAGGTAGGGAAGTTGTGTAACTATTCACTATTGATGTTAAAACTAAAACTATCAGCCATGCTAACATCGTTAATATATGACAAGTACCGAGTATCTACTGATGTATCTATAATAGTAATTAAATACTTCTTTAAAAATTGTATTTTTAATTCATCATTTGTAAAGTAAATATGTAGTACATGTGAAACATTTAAAATTATATTTATGTAGGTAACCGTAACCTACTACAAACAAAACACAAATCACAATTATTACTAATATCCTACCTACTGGTAGGTGGAAATCCATTCAAATTTCAGGGGGCTAATATTATTAACATCAATGTGAGTTGGGGGGGGGGGGATTCGATGCCACACAACTAAAAAAAGAGGGGGCTTGACGAACTTTCGTGGAGCTAAGCTCCCGTTAGTTCCCCTCCAATCTCCTATTTAATTATGTAACCACTTAATGTAATACCCATGTACGTACAGGTATCTATTGTAGTATTGTCTAATAAGTTTACTCAGTCATTCAAAATGGTACGTGATTTAAGGTTTTTTTTTTATAAATTGATATACCAGATACCTACAAGTTAATCTATTTATTATATTTTGCTGTAGGTATTTATTTCTATGATTTTATATCATCATTCTTTGATGTACATAATGTACATAATGTATATAATTGTTGATAAGTGTTGATAATTCCGAAATTTCAAAATAT